TAAGATAAACATTTTTTATGAATAGAATTTTAAAAGAAATCTTGGTAAAGGGTAACAGAAGAAGAACTAGATGAGGCCGCAGAGAGACTTAGCACATAGAAATTTTTGCCATAATATATTACAAAATAAACATAGTTCGGCCTTGAATTTGGCTCTCAGCTTTCTGTAGCCAAATAAAAAAAGTTAAGAAGACTCAGGGCTTGTAAGATAAAAGCGGGGCCATTGCTGAAGAAAAGCAAAGCCCTTCATTGCACTCAGGTCCTGAGTCCTCATAAAGGGTAGACAGTGCAACTTTGTGAGGCAGGATCTTCACTAAAATCTTTATAAGAAACACAACAGTAGCCTAGTTTCTAGGATCCTTAATGCATTTTTGAGTCATGATGACATAGCACAGTTCAGTAGGGGCAGTTCTCTGGGGCTAAAACCACTGCTGTTTAGTTTTCTGGCTCCCTTCGCAGGTGGGCAGACTGCCTTTAGGCTGTCCTCTAGGAACATTACTTCTGGCATGCACGATTTTGATCAAAATTGGGCAGCCAACAGTTCAAAGTTACATTCTTTGGCAAGGACCTGGAGTTCAGTTAATCTATATTATAGATTAAGATGATGCCAACACATTTAAATATCACCCAAAAAGAAGGTAGGATTGACATTCTTATATAAAACTTAAGAAGCTGACCCAGAACTCATGCTTCAATAAGGAAGTCACCCACACCTCTGCAGAGTGACCCAAGGCCATGCTTATGGGCAGGGCCACAATTTTCCATAGCAAACTGTTCTAAGTCACTTCTAACACCTGAACAAATAATAATCAAGGCTTCAAAACTGAAGTCTGGGAAGTATGGCAATAACGAAAACTTTTAACTAATAGTTACCAATTTCTCTTTACAGCCAGAGAAAATTTTCCAATGGTACATGGATGAAATGTTGACTTTTAAGCTAATGGACTCTAAGAGTAAATAAGGTGCAAATTGTGCCCCTAAGCAACAAAATGAACTGGCCTGCAGCGTGGTTGAATTTGGTCGATTATATTTGTGTCAAAAAAATGATTATTTAGGCTTTATGGTAGTTAATCTTGGGTCAGTATCAGAGACTATGGTAGTATCTTTCATTACTGAGGCCATTCCTAGAGTCTTGACAGTGTGGAAGACATGCTGATTTTCTGTTCTCTTTAGCAGTAAGCAAGTATCTAGAGCATCCAATTATTAAGAGGCAAGTTAAAAGAAGAATCAGAATATACCACTTCATTTTCTCATCTGTATAATGGGATGCTAATAGTATTTACCTCATAGAGTTATTATGAAGATAAAATATATAAAAGCAGTTAGAATAGTGTCTGGCATATAATAAGTATTCAATATTTCTTAACTCTTACTGTTACGTTTCTCAGAGTTTTTATCTGATTTGACAAAAGTAAGTCCTGCTGGCCCTCACTCCATAAAGATAATAAAGGGCTGGTTTTCTAAAAGAATCAATCACTAGTGGGTCTCCTGAACCATTAGTGCAGATCAGACTGGAACTTGTTCACAGTTAGAGGCCAAGGAAAAATCAGTAATTAAATTTTCACACTGCCTTAGTATTGTTTTTGATAGATCTCTACAGAGGCTGATATAGTCAATTGTAGAATTACTGTTTCTAAAGCCTGATACATTCTCAGGAGAAAAAAATGACTTGAGAAATTCAGATTTAAATTTTTAAAAGTAGAAATGGAAGATATGCCTTTTAAAAATGGCATAGAGTTTACTCTGTGTTCATCCATTTTAGATCATATCAGTTTTATTATTGGAGGAAACAGACTGGCAGGATTTGGAACACATCAGTCGTACTGAACTTTGGACAGCCGTAGGTCCAGGAAGTTTACGCTGGGGGCTTGACATAATTTGGGTATTATAACATCGAGGCTAGGCACATGGGCTTTGCAGTTAGACAGGCCTGGACTGCAGTCATGGCTCTGCCCCTGAACTAGCTGTGAGCACTGCAGCAAGTTGCCACATCTTCTAAGCTTCAGTTTCCTTGTCTATAAGTCAAGGTAATATCATGCACTAATACAGTTCTTGGGCGGAGCTTTAAATAAGAGAATGCAATTAAAATTATTAGCCCAGTGCATAACATATGATTGGTAGCTCTTATTAGTGTACTTTAAAAATCAATTTTATACGTGTAGATAGATCCTTTTTCAGAATCTACATCTAATCAGAGTAAGGCCAAGGGAGATTGAGAAATCTGTCCACAGTTTATAAAATTGAGAAAATTAGGCCTTCTTGAAGTCTAGAGTTAGGGTCTAGAGTTCTCAGTTTTAAATCTGGTCTCATTACTGATTTCATAGACAAGGAGGGAAAAGCACTTTAAATAATGTCCTAATTTTAAATAAATAGGATCCAAGTTGCCTTTTTATATTCACTTTCCTGTGTCACATGATTAACCTGTCCAAGATTTTCTTTGCTGTCTTCTCAAGCCAAGAACTAGAAGATCAGGGACCAAATTTGCCAAACATGGGCCTAGTAGATAAAACCAGTTTGTTTTTTTGTAATCTCTAATAATGTTTAAAAAGATAAAAATATTTCAAAATATAAAATTTTAAGAGGAATAAAAAGAAGCACAAAAAACAAATACAAATAGAAAATAGTTAAAATCAAGTGTGATTTTAAAAGGAAAAAGCAGATTGAGTTGAACTTCTAATGAAAGGTAAAAGAAGAGTAGAAAACGTTTTTAAAAGGCAAGAACGAAAAAAGAAATAAAACAGTGCAAGTTAGAACAAAATGCTAAAATAGTCAGTACTACGAAGTTATAAAAGTTTTTAAAACAAGGTAAAGCTATATCCTACAAAAAGACAAAGACTAAATCCGTCTGGAAGTTGGTGAGCAGCACGATCTTTAAGCAGATCCTCTAAGCTGGGACAATTTCTCAGCTCAGGGTCCTTGGGGAGGCAGCTGAAGGTCGGCTTGGTACCAGGTCACACTGATAACCTCTGGAGCAGTGCTCCTGAACCCTCATCTAGGCCCTGTACCTATGTTATTTCCGTTTTTCCACCCAATAATGGCTCCATGTCATAGGCATTTGTAATTCATACTACAGAGGCGTTAACAACATTTTGGATAAGTGCCCTGCTCTGCTGGCAGATGGTAGAGCTGAGACCTGAAGCCCAGTCTGATACCAAAACCCATGTATATTCTTTACTTTTTTTTTTGCCTTCCAGGAAACATCATTATCATCATCAACAAAGAAATAACAAAATCCCATGCCCATTAATCCTTCTCCCCGACCTTGTCAAGATTATCAAATTAGGAGAGATTGCCGTTCTTAACAACAGCCCAGCAATAGTCAGTATGCAGTGGATCCTCTGTGTATCTTAATAACCCACTGGAGTGTTACATACAGAGGGTGC